CTTTGTTCGCCCGGCTTTTGTTAGCCCGGCCATTGTTCGCGCGGCCTGTGTTCGTGGTACATCTGCCGACTAAGTGCTCTTCCTGGAAGTTTTTATTTGTTTTGTTTCCTTTTGTTGTTTCTGTGTTCGTGGTACATCTGCCGACAAACTGTTTTCCTGGNTTCATGCAAGATTATTTGTATTTGACTCATGCCAATGTCTAAAGTTGCCTGAATTTCGCGGTATGTCACATGTCGATCTTCCTCAATCAGCTTACGCACAGCATCAACGTTTTCTTGGGTGACTGCAGTTTTTGGACGACCTTGACGGGGATCATCACTGAGCTTGACACGTCCACGTTGAAACTGAGCAAACCAGCGATAAATTGTGATTTTGAATGGGGCTTCATCACCAAATGCAGAAATCATCCGGTCAACACACTGTTTTTGTGTTAAACCACTTCGAAAGTCATAATAAATCATCGCTCTTGAATTTTCTCGAGTCAATTCCATTTTCCCAACGACAACAAGTTTGACAAAACCTCGTGACAAGACCGAGAATCTTTTTTTAAAGAAATAAATGGTATTCGATTTTTAAAACCAAGGAGTTTTCAATTTAAAAGATTTTAATATGACAGGAACAGTGGAAATATTCCATTCCCTATACTTTTAGTGCAGCCTTCGTATTTGTGTATTATTTTTTTATAATGTCATTACGAAAGATTTGTTTGAAATGCTTTAATTCCAAAAGTAACTTCAATAACAAGTTATAAGAAAATCTCCTATTTCCCCGTCCTTCCCTTTTTTTGTTTAGTTGGAATAGCCGGACTTCCGCCCTCCACTGGGGATGGCGGGCGGAGCATGTCGGAGTCAAACCGACTAAAACCTCCTGTCGCTCAACAACCAAACCTCGCATGAGACAGAACTCATGAAAAGGCAAAGGGAGAAAGTGAAGTGTTTAGTGCGAAGCACATCTCTCCCGTCACCCTCCCCCTCGGGATGCCGGACTGGCGGTCGTCGGCCCCACGACCACCAGCCCTCTCGGTCGGCATGCTATCTGAAGCCCGCCTAGATGGCGCCAGTTAGAGTGAGTTATCATACGGAATACCCCGCTGGGTCAGAACCAGCGTGGATCTAGGAAAGCCGGCCTTCCATCACCCGGATGCTCTTGCGTAAAACGCGTGCAGAGCAGCTTGCACGTCGTCTTCTTAGCCCCCCCTCGCCGGTCCCCGGACCGACATGTGAGGGGGACCCGAAACACTTAGAGGGCCAGGGCTTGGACGAAATTCGCCTCCCTGACCCTCACTCGATGGTGGCGGGCTTGTGCGTCTCTGACGCACCCCGCCACCTCCTTCAGCGAGATGGTGCACTCGCAGAAGTCGAGCATCGCCTTCCACGACTCGTCGTCGCCGAGCATCGATGCCACAACACTCGGCAACGACAAGTCGTTTCCTATTTTTGCGACGAGGACGAGGACACGGCGCCACCCCTCCCATACGGGGCAAGCAACGAGCGTGTGCTCCGCCGTGTCCAAGTCGCAACCACAATGGCGGCCCTCTGCCGTCGGCTCGGTTCCGATCCGGTGCAGGAACTCACCGAAGCAACCATGCCCAGTGAGCACCTGCGTGAGCCGGAAGGTGAGGCGTCCTCTGTCACGATTCACCCAATCCACAAGGACTGGGGATATCGCCTCGATGGTCCTACGACCAGCCGAAGGATCAGCCAGCCGTCTGGACCATGACTCCAGCATGGACCCCCGAGATTGGGCCCTCCGCGCTTTGACCACACTGGGGCTGAGACGCGCCACGCCCCGGGCACGAGTCAGCCCGCCACTGATAGTCAGCGGCGAGCGTCTCCGCTTCCAGAACCCAAGACGGCGTCCCAGCCAGTACACACGCCGCCTCGAAGGAGATGGTGCGATAACCACGGATGACCCTGACCGCGATGGTGCGTTGCGGCCGTTGCAGCAGTTTCACCACCCCCACGGCAGGGACCCCAGTCCTTCCCTAGCACATTTCATTGTATCCTGTCCAAAGCGGGCCTTTACCGAGAAAGTTCGACTTCCCACTTTTTAGTTGGTCTTCGCCAACATTTCTTGTCGTCCTTAAAATATCAAATTCTAATTGTTTCACTTCAAGGTTGATAGTTTCCGCGAATTATAATTTCCTATCCAACGTCATCTTAGTTGATCTATTTTAGTTAGTATGTCGATGATTTTATGTCTTTTTTAACTACTTAAGCTTTCTTAATTTGATCACAATACGACTTGATGAGGATATCTATACTAATATTATAAAGAGGAAAGATTTGTTTGTTTGTTTGTTTCGAATAGGCTCCGAAACTACTGGACCGATTTGAAAAATTCTTTTTCCCTTAGAAGCCGACATTGTCCCTGATGAACATAGGCTACTATTTTTTTTTTTGTTTTTTTTTTTTTTTGTTTCATGTTTGTTTTAATGTTTCCGAAGCGAAGTGAGGGCGGGTCGCTAGTCATTAAATATAAACATAATTTATTTATGATATTAGATTAAACATATTCACTGTATACTTAGTCTGGCCATAAATACTGTTATAATTAAAAATAAACAAAATATTATATTTGAATTAGGAATCTGTCATTTTTATATGATTGCTCATTGAGTTTTCTCATTTTGGCGGCAATACATTGTACAATATTTTGCGATATTAAAATGGAGTGGCGTGATAAAGAGAACCAAATCACTGTGATTGCATTACACAAAGTAGGTATGGAGCCAAATGCAATTTTTAAAACTCTCCATACGCTTGGTATTAGTAAAATGTTTGTATACCGGGCTATTAATAGGTGCAATTTGACCTCCTCTGCTTGTGACAGACATAGTGTTCATACGAAAAAGGTGGTCAAAGCAGTAAGGGAAAGAATTCGAAGAAATCCTGTCCGAAAGGAAAAGATTTTATCTCGGGAGATGAAGATAGCACCTAGAACCATGTCGCGTATTTTAAAAGATGATGAGAATTTTTTTACAATCGAGCAACATTTTAACAAACAAAATGACCGTATTTATACTCAAAGCTCTAAGGAAGCTTCTCAATTAGTCGACAGAGTACAACGTGAGCACTATCCGACTTCAGTGATGGTTTGGTGGGGTATTAGCTATGAAGGAGTGACTGAGCCATACTTTTGTGAAAAAGATATCAAAACATCGGCACAAATGTATCATACCATTCTTGAGAAGGTAATGAAGCCCCTTAACAACACCATGTTCAATAATCAAGAATGGTCCTTCCAGCAAGACTCGGCGCCAGGTCGTAAAGCTCGGTCTACGCAGTCTTGGTTGGAAACGAACGTTTCGGATTTCATCAGAGCTGAAGACTGGCCGTCGTCTAGTCCCGTTCTTAATCCGCTGGATTATGATTTATGGTCAGTTTTAGAGAGTACGGCTTGCTCTAAACGCCATGATAATTTGGAGTCCCTAAAACAATCCGTACGATTGGCAGTGAAAATTTTTCCCATGGAAAGAGTGCGTGCTTCTATTGATAACTGGCCTCAACGTTTAAAGGACTGTATTGCAGCTAATGGAGACCACTTAGAATAAGCTTTTCATACTTTAAATTGTTTTATATTTATGTATTAAACTAACACACTGTAAAAGTAATAAATGTTATTTGCAATAGATTTTTTTTTATTTTTAATTGTAACAGTATTTATGGCCAGACTAAGTATTTAAGCAATTCTGCAAGATTTTTGTTTATGAAATCGGATCACTTATTACGTGTTACTTCGAATGTTACGTGAACTTTATCAAAATAACTAAACTTATTCAGCAATATTCGTATTGCATGTTAAGTTTAATGCTAAATGATTCATGATTGTAATGAGACTAAAACGTGTCTCTGTAAAAATGTTAGAAGATGGAAATCCGTGTTTGGTTGTACTGTGTCGTTATTAGTTTTATTGTGATAATATGTATGTAAGACTTAAATGTAATAAGAAATATTTAGACTTGTTAATAATATATAACTAAAAAATAAATATATTAGTGTATTGGTGCCAATTAATATATTTTATTAAATGTAATGTCTAATTCTCACTCGACTGTTTTGTCAACAGATTTAGAAGCTAAAACATTTTCATTAAACGAAGCAATTGCAGCCGAATCTGCAAATCGCCATTCCGAAGCAACAAATACACCACAACTATCAGGTAAATAAAAATAAAAACAGTCCACCATTGCGAACCATCCACTTACTTCATCCACCAATAAAATATGACTCTTGACACTTTTAGTTTAGTTTTGCATCGTGCAATCTTATTATTATTCTTTTATTTCCGAGGTTTGGGCTAATAACTACTTAAAGTACTTAATGATTTAAAAACATTCGTTAATTTTCAGGGAAAACATCGGAGCGGTTTTCTTTAAACAAACTACTTACCTTACCTTCTTTAAAGAGGAACAAACTAAAAAAGCCTGGTAAGTATCGATGTGCAAACCTATAAGCTCAGAAATTCATGTTAAATACCTACTTATTTATATTTTTTCCACTAAAATTGATGTGTTTTAATTTAAAGAATAAGATAACGTTTTCTCACGATCAGTAAGTTGATATCAGGTAATGTGGCAGTATGGGTATCGTAAGACCACCACGGGAACACCATCCCAATTTGGCCGCGAAACGTTCGTCAAATTAAATTGTAAAGACTATCAACCTCATGTCTCAAGATTGGCTTGTAAATCAGTTAGCAATAACCAGGGGCTCTGATAACGGCCAACGGTTATTACCAGTGAACTATGAACTCGTAAGTTCATCTAACACAAAAATGATTAGCGTATCATATACCTAACTATTGTTTTTTAAATAAATTGATATTGATATATTTAAAGATTTGCTTTACAGGTTTATTTTCACTGATTCACGAAAAAAGACTATCTCCTTTTAAGTATCGTAAAACCTTTGGAATAAGGAGTCCTCTAAAACCAAGAAAACTAAAACGTTCACCGAAACTGCGAAATAAACGGAGGAACCAAATATCAAAAAGCAAATATGACGAAAACGCAATCCTCGACCAAAAATACATACCGCTTCTTAAGACTATCGGTATGTTGTTTGATAATCTCCTTGGCACAGACCAAAGTAGCTCCGAAGAATATAAGTCACGAAAACATAGAAGGAATAAATATCGAACGTTATTCTTCGAAAATGACAGCGGAATCGGATGCGCGTGTCATAAATCAAGTTTTGAGAACGAATCCGAAACGATTCAAGCGCCAACTTCTATCAAGGATTCTACAGCTTCCACTACAGTCCCGACTGGGATCGAGATTGCCGAGACTACCTCCACGACAGCCGATTATCCTACCACTAGTGACATCAGCAGTATCAGACACGATCAGAACTTACCCTTACTACTTCCAAGAAATTCCCATGGCTATCAGCGAAACAGTATTAGAAACAGTGAGAGAAGCAGCCCCACACGTGACAGGAGCGCTGAAGGACATTTCACCTGGAATCATGGAGATAATGAATATGATTCCAAATTCCGAGAAGATGGGTCCATTACAGAAGATGATGACGAAATTCCCGACAGTACTTCACGAAACAGTTCGAGTAGCAACAGACTCAATCGAAGATGGGGAAGCCAAGATGTTAGAGGAAGTGAAGTCTCTGGAGATTGGACCAATTTGGAGGATTATCAAAAGCAAGCCTACAAAATCAGAAGAGGTAGTGGGAAATATAAAGAAGAAAATAAATTGGAAACTGGAGGAAACAAAACAGAGAGCACAAAATCTGTACCAAAACATCTTCGAAGATTACGAGGACCAATACCCGAGAAAAAAATCGTCAAGATCACAAACGACATACACTCCAAAGAAGATGATGAAAAAATCAAGCAACACAATAGCACCAGTCATCAAGGAATCCTTGTCGGAAATGGCACAGATACCACACAAAATAAAAAAGTTCGTCCAAGAAATGAAGCAATGATGTTGGTTAAAAGTTCCACTGGCAGACAAAATACAATCCAAACAAATAATTCTGATAAAAAATCACCAGTGGTTATGATTATAGATGGCTATAGTGTGACTCGAAACAAAAATGGTGAGAACAAAGTATCTAATAAATCTATTCACATGCACTCATAAGAAAATAAAAAATTTGAATATTGAAATAAATGTATTATATTTTAGATAACATGACTGCTTTATGACACTTCATCGCCTTCCTTTTTTCCCTTTTGTCTTACTGATTGCCTGATTTGTTGGTTGAGGTTGTTGTTCCACAGGTCTGGAACAAAGATAAACCCTTCAATCAGATCTATTGTTTTGCACAATTAAGAATCTTTTTGTCATTCAAGGATATAAATAGCATATTCATAAAGAAAAATACTACAAAGTGTCATTTGTAAGTGGGACACTTGTCAAGCATCACTTGGATAGATTTGAAGCTTTCATTTACTGCATGAGTTGTGTCAAAGGCTCTGGTCCAATGTGGTGTTTAGGTTAGGCCCATAGATATCACATGTCTATGTGTCAATTCTAGTACCCACTTTTACACTTAAACATTTGTCTCAATTGCTTTTTATAATGGCTGTAACTACAAAATTATGATCATAAAGTATATTTACATGACATTATTATTTGTATGATAAAAGTTATTATAAAATAGAGATAATTTTTCAAATCTAAAAAGGTCAAAAAATTCATTCTATAATTAAAAATAAACTGTTGGTTATATTAGTTGTAGATATAAAGATTACCGATTCTGTCTTGTCTTTAGCTTTGGAATGGATTCACCAATATATTTCATTACAGATTCTCTAGTAGGAAATTCAGGATTTACAGGGGCACCATCATCATTCTTAATTTGAACGCGTATTCTGCCTCTGTACAACATTTCCTGAAAACATAAAATATTTTTTCAGAAAATAACATTTGATTTTAAGTTGAGTACAATATGTTCACACTAATGTGGGGTTAGATTCATATCTGTTTAAAAGTAATTTTAGGTTTGTAGTCTGCCTAGAATAACACCACTTTATCTCTTCCTGGGGATTCCAAAAGGTGCCTGATTGATTCACAAGATCATTTTGTAAGTATTACATCTACAAACAACGATAGCCAACCCTGTACTGGTGGTAGGCTTATTGTAGTAGTTCAGTACCACTATCCTGCATTCAGGATTGGAGGTTGGGGCAGGAATCATATATTTGAGACTTCAACTTCGTGTATCAAGGTGAGCAGCAGCATTCACATTGTATTATGTATAGGTTCAGGTAACAACTTTACACTATGTGAGGTATAAGCTCATTCACCTATACAAGAGAAAAACAATTAATAAATCAAATGTTTTTTGAGAAAAGAAATCAATTGAATCTTGGCCTGTAAACGTAGGAATGATGTAATTTAACTATTTTACCTTGCTGCATTCTCTTGAATACAATTTGTTTTCAACCCCTACTCGTAACCCAGTGGCAAGAAGAACATCTCTAATTTCTTGATGTGTAGGGTTTTCGACACAAACAGATTTAGGAAGTCTGCGTCCTTCTGCGAGGGTCTTTTTGCTGTTCAAATATGCAGGGTAAATGCATATCCATCTATTACCAAAAAAAAACAGTAAAATCAAGATTATTTTCGATTCGATACCATTATTTTTATTTTCATTTTTAATAGAACACTGACAGGTGGTAACTAATGGTAATGTTACTAAAAAAATCACAGTATATAATTTCCAAACCTTTCCACATCACTGTGCTTCTTTTCGGGATTCCAAGATGTTATCATACTAGCCATGTCTAGTCACTTTGTTTGGAATTTTATAAATCAAAGCTCTCTGTTATAAGAACGTATTCTGCGTATGTGCTTTTAATGAGCTTTTGTTAAGCAATCAGCTTAAATTAATATTTAAAAATCACGTTTGAATTTTATACAATTATTTTGTTGGGTTGTAGATTTTACAATTTAAAACCTAAGCATTTAACGCGTCATCGATGTCATCCTGTCCACCTGTCATCTGCTGTCAGCTGTTTGTGTTTTTTTATTTATTTCATCCCTTATACAGGTAAAGAGAAATAGCATATAGAGTTAAATAAATGCTAACATAATTTTAAATTCTATTTGTTGGAGTTTGTATATTAAATGTAATGGCAGGCAACACTTGACACTTGATTAGATTTCGAATATTGGAATTATTTTAAATGTTTTAAAAAACAGATCATTGTATTCTCGTAAGAAAATGTCAGTAACTTCTCATCTAGACATGGCATGAAAAACATGTAATAGTTTTATAAAAAATATAAAGATAAAAATTGTATAATGGTGTAAAAGTGTTAAAGCTATCTGCAATATAATTATAATGAAGCAGTTGTGTTTTTAAATAGCCCCTCATCACCTAAAGAACCTAATCCTTCAAATTTAACCATCCAACAGGTTATGGGCCCAGAACAAATTTAAAAGGTAATATTTATTATATTTTGCTGTTTAAAAGACGACAATATAACCGTGGAAACCAAACTGTTTATATACGAATATTCATAGCAACCAAACATGGATTCAATAAAGATAAAACCTTTCACAAATAAGGATAATTATAAAGCTTGGAGAATGCTAATTAAATTATTGCTGGATACAAAGGGTATAAAAATAGACGGTAAAAATGAGGAAAAATTGGAAAATAAGGGGAAATTTATAATATTNAAAAAAAAAAAAAAAAAAAAAAAGAAATGAAACTTTATATTCAATCTCATTTTCACTCAATAGAAACCGGGCGTCATAGTTATCATGCCATCGATATTACTGAAAGTTACTTTTTAATGATAGTTTACAATATATTTGATAAAAGAGCAATTAAATGAGACGGACAATAAAAATCATGCTTTCGTGAGCACAATACGACCTTTGAGTATAAGCACGATTGGTTTTAGTTTTATGACATAAAATATGATTTAGTTGCCCATAAGGCGGTTGGCTTATCTAAGTATTTTGTTTTGGTCGCGTTGCCCACTTTAGTTCCATATATAAACTGGCATTTATACGATTAAAGATTTCATCCCTCGATATTGGATGATCGTAATAATTTAACGGTACTCCGACCCTGCAGCTCTTTTGTTTTACTGTTCTTATTTTATTATTTATCGAAACATTTGGTATAAAAATGCCGTTATTTACGTTTTTATACCATAATTTATTGCCTAAACCTGAAACCCTCTGCAAAGTAAATTACATTGTTAAAAAATGTTAAATCAGTTATTTCGGCATTATTTAACTACTTAAAATGTAAGTGTTATTGAAATTTTAGCATAATGGAACACCTCCTGAAAAGATATTGTAAGCAGTAGTCAGTTAATTATGCAATACAATTGATAATGGGACATCTAAGCCCAAAGTAACACAGTTCCGCCTAGATTTGGTGCAAAGAAAAAATCAGTTCCGGTATTCAGACCGATTCAACAAGATTATTCTTCCTGGAGGATATTCCAAAGCAATTGAGACTTAGAAATCACCAATTCAACCGCTATGTGGTATTTTTATTTGATATCGGGTTTTACTAAGCGTTTCCTTCATATTATTTTTTCTTGCACTCCGTATAATGTTAGCGAGCAAATGTTTCTAAGCTATTACATAGGCGACACTGAAAATTTCGGGAATTAACGAAGTGAGACAACATTACTATTTAAAAATGTATTTATTGCTTTTCGAAGTATTCTCCGCGAAATTTGACACATTTTTCCATACGATGGAACCAATCATTGAAGCAACCATTCCATTCGGAAGTTGGGGTCTCCAAAATGGCCGTTTTGTAGGCGTCCACAGCTTCTTCAGGTGATGAAAATCTCTGTCCACGCAATTTATTCTTTA